CACGGGTGCAAGCAGGTTCTGGGTGTCACACAGAGCCCTGCTGGTGTGCTGAGCCCAGGGACAGCAAACCCCTGACAGGGCTGGGCAGGCAGCGCTTCATGGCCCTGCTCCACAAACTCCTTTTTCAGGATCATCACTGCACTTTCTGCTTCAAAAGACGTGCCCAGGAGCTGGGAGGTGGAGTGAAGGCTGCTGGAGACCCCGGGGCAGCCCACAGACATCTGGGAACCTGTCCTGGGAACCCTCTGCTCACCAGGAGCTCTGGAATCCCACGAGCATTTGGGCTGGGAAAGACCTCGAGGATCAGGGAGCCCAGCCTGGGACTGACGCCCCTGGGGGCTTTTGGGTGTCCCAGAGGGAGAGCAGGGCTCGGGACACCCTGGCCATGCAGGAGGCACTCAGCTGCCAGCGCCCTTGGCCTCCACTGGTGGGGTTTGTGCTGGATGTGCCAGTGTGGGAGGCAGCGCTTGCCGGGCTCTGAAGGTGATTTCCTCCCCCAGGAAGAAAAAAATGTTTCCCATTTGGAAATTTGGAAGCTCCAGATGCAGGAGCATGGCCCTGCCAGGGCCTGGAGCTGGTGGCTCATCACCTCTGGCAATCAGGGAGCACCTCAGGGCAGCTGGGAGCATCAGGCAGTGGGGAACAGAGTTCAAGCAGTCACTGTGCCTGCTCCAGGGAATGGGTGAGTTCTCTGCTTTTGGAGTCTTTTTGGCACAAAGGTGTTGGATTTGTCACTTAAATTGCTGCGAGCTCTTCATTGTTTGCTGTTGTTGGAATGAATTAAAGGAAAGGGGGCGCTGAAGGGAGCTGTGTGATGTGGTCATCGATACACAGATTGTGTTTGGTTAAAATTGCACCTCAGGGAACTCCCCTCAGCAGCAGCATTTGTTCTGGGGGGGCAGGGAGGTGCTCTGGCCAGACCCTGCTGGGGCTCGCTGCCTACAACAGGAAAGTAAAAGTTTACAGCAAAGTTTACTTTTCCACAATGGCTCAGAATTTCCCACTGCTCAGGTGGTGACACGTTGGAGTGAGGAGCCTTTTTGGAGTGACAGGCACAGGATGAGATAAAAGAATAAAAAGCCTAATGGTAAAATTAGCTCCCTCTTTCATTTTTAAAGGGCTGGGAGTGGAGGGCTGAGATCTCAGGTAACCATTTGTGCTCTGCTTTTGCTCTGCTGCAGACAGCTGAGGTCAATCTCCCATTTTCCCTTTCCCCCTGAACAGTTTTTAAGATGAGACAATTGGTTGTGTTTGGTGTCACTGAGGACACAGTGGCTTCAGCCCCCTCTGATCCCTGGACTGGAATAAACTCTGTGGCTGTACATGGCTTGTACAGCCTCCTGTCACAGCCCTTCCCCAGCCACTTCTGGCTAAAAACCAGAGCATTTTTGCTTTTGAATACGTTTTGTTTGTCCTCACTGACAGCTGGAACATTTTCTGCAAGTGGCAGCCCAATACAGGCAGCACTGACAGAAATCTCCAGCTGAAAATGCCCTCCCTTCCCTTCCAGTACATTCCTCGTTTTCTCTTGCTCTTGCTTCTAGAAGTAGTCAGAAAATGTCAAGTTAGTCTTAGTCAGACTCTGAGATTGGAATTTATTTGTCTCAGAGCCTGTCTGAGTCCTCTCTCTGCTATAATGAAGTGTTTTGCTAAGCCATTGTTTTTACCATAAATATATTCCCTTGGCTGCATCTTTGTGGTGGATTATTTGCTCCAGAATCTCTCCTTTTCATCTCAGAGATGAATATACATTTCGGGACCAGGTTTTGAAATACCAGTTTGCTTCAGGAAACTTCTTATGAGCGAGTCTGGGAAGCCAGCACTAAATCACTTTTGTATATTTTATTTCCCAAGGAATCAGACCCACTTTGTTTATTATCTAGCAAAACCCCAAGCAGAATGTAAAAACCCAGACTGAATGAGAAAGGAGCATTACAAAAATACCGAAGCTGCCTTTCCCTGGCAGTGGGGAAATACATTGCTTCACTTTAATGTGAAAAAGAAATGACACAACGGTAAAGAAATGAAAGCAAAGGGTCTGGGAGGAAAGCTGATGTCTTCACAAACAGCTGTGGAGCTTTCGAATGGCTCTGGGTGTCTCTGTGACTGGGGCAGAGCCCAGGCACTCTGGGGTCTGCACAAGGCTGAGGCTCTGAACTTTGGGGTGAAATAACAGCTTCAGGGGAGTGTGGCACCTGGCTCAGGGAGGTTCGGGAGTTTGGGAGGAGAGGAGGCTGCAGCTGAGAGAGGGAGGGAGAGAGAGAGAGAAAAATGGGAGAGAGAGAGAAAAAGAGAGAATGAAATGGGAGAGAGGAAAAAAACAGGAGAGAAAGAGAAAAAAATGGGAGAGAAGGAGGGAGACAGAAAAAGAGAGGGAAAAAAATGAGGGAAGGAGGGAGAGAAAGAGGGGAAAAAGCAGGGGAGACAGGGAGAGAAAGAGAAAAACCCAGGAGAGGGAGAGAAGAAGGGAGAGAGAGTGGGGGAGGGAGAGAAAGAGAGAAAAAAACAGGAGAGGGAGAGAGAGGGAGAGAAAGAGAGACAGAAAAAGAGAATAAAATGGGAGAGGGAGAGAAAGTGTGGAAAAGAGAAAAAAAATGGGAGGGGGAGAGGGAGGTAGGGAAGTAAAATGGGAGAGAGAGGAAAAAATGGGGAGAGGGACTGAGAAGGAGAGAAAAAACTGGGAGAGGGAGAGAGAGAAAGAGGGAAAGAAAAGAAACCGGGAGAGAAAGAGAGGGAGAGAATGAGGGAAAAAACCAGGAGAGAGAGAGAAAGGGAGGAAGGAAAAACCCCGAGAGAGGGAGGGAGAGAGAGGGAGGGAGAGAGAGAAAGAGGGAAAGAGAAAAAAACGGAAGAGAGAATGAGAGAAAAAACAAAGAGAGAGAGAAAGGGAGGAAGGAAAAACCCCGTGGGCATGTTCCCCAGGGCTTCTCCCTTTCCTGGAACACAGTTGCAAGGCTGTCTCCTTTCTGGGCACAAACCCATGGCATCTCCTGCCAGGTGGGGCTCGTCCGGGATCCTCGCACCATCCAGCTCCTGGCACGTGGCCAGAGGTGCCAGCCCAGTTTGGTGCCCCAGTTTGGGTGCCCAGCTCCCTTGGGTGCTGGTTGGCACCTGGAGGGTCATGGGGCACCCGAGACTGCCAGGACACAGGAGAGGGGACATGGGGGAGTCCACGTGGATGTCCAGAGCAGGCACTGAGGGAGAGTCAGGAAGGGTTTGGCAAATCTCACCCATGAGTGCAGCTGTGGGCAGTAAAACATGGCAGGGTGCATGGCAGCAGAGTCAGAATCAGGGGCTTGACTTAGGGATGGTGATCCCAAAATACCCCTGAAGGGTCCTTTGGGAAAATGTTGGGGTGGTTTGCACGTTGTCCAGGAGGAGACATTGCACATTCTCCAGGAGGAGACATTGCATTTCTCCCAGGTGAGGATGGATGCCCAGAGGGGACAGTAAGAGGGGCCAGGAAAGGCTCTTGGCAATGCACACCCAGAGGGGGCAAAGGTGTTGGTTTGGGAAAGACTGGTGGGTCCCAAAATACCCCTGAAGGGGCCTTTGGGAAAATGTTGGGGTGGTTTGCACATTGTCCAGGAGGAGACATTGCACTTCTCCCAGGTGAGTATGGACACCCAGAGGGGACAGTAAGAGGGGCCAGGAAAGGGTCTTGGCAATGCACACCCAGAGGGGGCAATATGGTGTTGGTTTGGGAAAGACTGGTGGAAGGGAAATGTGGAGAAATGTGATTTAGGGAAATGGAAGTGGGAGGCTGTGTGATCAGGAGGCTGTGGTGTCCCTGTGAGGCACAGGACAGGCTGTGGTGTGCAGTGTGAAGCACAGGGACCACCTTTGGTGTACCCTGTAAGAGATAATGTGTCACTCCCACGTGCAGTGCGAGCAGGGGCTGGAGAGGTGGCTGAGCCTGCCAGGAATTGGTTAGAAAGGGATCTCAGAGAGGTGTGAAAGAAGGGATGAGGAAAAGGTACAGGCAAGGATAATGGCACAGTTTTTACAGCCCCCAGTGGGGAAAAGCACAGCGAGCCTCAGGACAATATGGAAGGGGGCAGCCACCAGGACAGTGACTGGGAAGGAGTCAGTGTGCCTTTTGTAAAAAGAACATTAGAAATGGATTGTTCATGGTGTCAGATCTGCTGTTGTACCCGGGCTCACCACGCTGGAGCCCTTGCTGCACCAAGAAGTGTTTCCTGGTAGGCACAGGAACTTCTCTGTCTGATTTGGATTTTATGCCAAAGGGGGAACAATTATTCAGATGATTTTTGGTGAGTGGGGAAGATGAGCAGGTGCATTTGGTTCCAGCACTCTTGGTGAATGTGTGAGTGGATGGGAATGAGCACTGTGTGTGTTACATCCACAGCTGCCTCTGCCCATTCCCTTCAAACACATTGTACAGCATTGGCAGAGGCCAGGCAGAATGAGACATGAGCAGTCTTGTGTTCACTGAGTTGTTTTACGCTTTTTCTCTGTGGAACAATATTCATCACTTTCGGGGTTTTTTAACCCAGTTTAAGACTCTGTACTGGCTGTGTGCAGCAAAACTGAAGGGCTTGCTCAGATCCTGCTGCTGAGGAGCCAACTCCTCAGGAAGAAGATGAGTTGAGGGAGCAGGCAGGGAGGGGAGCTGTGGGAGAGCCTGCCTGGCACCCCTGCCCTGCCAGCCTGGATCTGATGGGCTGCTCCTCCCCAGGAGTGAGGGTGCAGGACCCCAGGGGCTGCTTGAGGTCACAGGGGTTTCTTGAGGTCATTTGGGGTTTCTTGAGGTCGTTGCAGTGCCTGGGTGGGGTTATGTCTTAGGTGAGAATAAGAAATGAAACTGAAAGCATGAATGCTGTCCCCATCTCCATCAGCTGTTAGAACAGTGTTCTTTCTCTCTTCCATGACTCATCTCCAAGAAGTCTCTCCAAGGGATACTTCTGTGCAGGGGGCCCCAAAATCTCCCTGGATGACTCCCTAGTGACATCATCCCATTGTGAGATGCTCCGCCCAGGGGGAGGAGCCCAGCAGTCCCAGCTGCATATAAGCTGGGGCTTGGAGCACCAGGAGCACTTTGCCTGCTGAGTTCCCAGAGGAGAAGAGGTCCAGAATCAGCAGGGGAGCTCCAGAGGAAGAGCAGGCCCTTGTGCAGGATCCGTGCTCCGACAGAACCCGGCCATCCCTCCCAGAGAGCCGCAGCCACCATCTGATCACACCTCCGGGGTGCCAGGTTGTATTCTGACCCTGTCAGTTTAAGCTGGTGTTTTCTGCCTTTGTTTCATTCTCCTGTTAAATTGTAGCTCTGACTTGGGGTCTCCTCCTGGTTTGCTTTCAGACTGGTACATGTTTTGACACCCTGCATGGAGCCAGTCCTGAGAGAAGTCAGAATGACAATTTTGTGTTGCAGAAACCTCCTGCTCACTGTGATGCTCTCCATGCTTCTGTGGGTCTCATGCCTTGCTCTCTGTCTTTTCCCACACATGGGGAACCACCTGTCTGCTGCAATGCTCCTCTTGAGTTCAGGGAATGGTATGAAAATTGCTTTGTTGGCTTTTTGTGTCTATTGCATGATAACCTCTGAGGAAGTGAGCCTAACTTGGAATACAAGTTCACTTTCCTTTTCTTTTCCTAATCTGGGCTGCTCCATCTGCATCCTCCTCAACAATCTCACCCAGCCCCAGGGGGAAAGAGCAGAGAGTGGTTTCTCCCCGACTTTCAGACCTGACAATGCAGTTTTTGAAAATCTCGAGTTCCCTCTGGGTGTCAAAGACGGCATAATCATCTTGTTAGTTCTGCTTTGTCTTCTCTCTGCAGCCTGCACCCTTTGCACCCTCTGCACCCTCTGCACCATGCTCAGAGACAGAGAAGTGCTCCGGGTGGTGCAGCGGGGTCTGGAGGACGAGGAAGAGGAGGAGGGAAGGACAGAGCCAGTGAGCACCACGACTGCACGGCCTGGCATGGAGAGAAGAGGAACCCAAAACACAGCAACGAGCACCACGACTGCACGGCCTGGCATGGAGAGAAGAGGAACCCAAAACACAGCAACGAGCACCACGACTGCACGGCCTGGCATGGAGAGAAGAGGAACCCAAAACACAGCAACGAGCACCACGACTGCACGGCCTGGCATGGAGAGAAGAGGAACCCACAGCACAGCAGCAGACATCACATCTACACAGCCTGGCACACTGGGAAAAGAAACCAGAAGCAAAGCAACGAGCACCACGACTGCACAGCCTGGCACAGGGAGAAAAGAAACCAGAAGCAAAGCAACGAGCACCACGACTGCACAGCCTGGCATGGAGAGAAGAGGAGCCAAAAGGGCAGTCAGTGCTTCCACACAGACCGCCACCAAGCCAGGGCAGCCCAAGCCAGCAGCAGCTGCCCCCGTTCAGAAGAAGAAATCCAAGAGCAGACCCATCCAAAGTGTGGCTGATGAGGAGGTGGCGGGACCCTCACACCGAGGAGAGCCAGCACCAGTGGTCATCACTGTCACTGTGGCCCTGGGTGGGCTGCCAGCTGTGGTCAGTGCCCAGGGGACCAGGAGAGCCCAGGGAACTGTCAGCCTCTGGCAGTGACTGCTGGTGAGTGTGAGGGGTGGGTGCTTTGTAAAGTAGGGACAGAGATGGACGCCCTTGTAAGGTATGGAGAGGGATGGACACCTTTGTAAAGATCTCCAGGTGCACCAGGGGAAAGGGAGCACAAGGAGATAATTTTTCCCTGAGAGCCCCAAGGATGTACAGTGCACATTGCAGATGTGGATGAGATTTGCACGCCTTGGACCAGAGAGATCCTCCCGTGACCTGGAGATGTGCCGTGGAGGGAAGGAGAGGACAAGGTGGGAGCCCTGGTCAGCAAGCTGGGAACTTACAAGGACTCTGTCACTGCCCTGTTGTGCACCATGTCTCATCCATGGAAACAAAGCTGGCTGCGAGCATCTGGAGCTTGGGAGAGAACCTGAGAAAGGAGCTTCAGGAAGGGACTTCCCACACTCACCAGAACCAGCCAGTCTCTGCATGAGGAGCAGATGCCCCCCAGCCAGGCAGAGAGGATACACTCCACCAGGTAACCTCTGCTTTTTCTTTCAGGAGCACGGGATGGAAAAGCCCCCTCCTCCTTAGCAGCCTGGGTGCCTGAACTTTGAAGAGGAATTTCAGCAGAGCTCATCTCGAGTCAGCAGTGCTCTGGCCTCCCGTGGACAGACCTCTGGACCCTACAGGAATGGGAACATCACTGGTTCTCCTTGCTCTCAGGAACACATTCACAGGGGACACCAGCGTGTGCCTGACCAGGATTAGAGGGGCCCTGTCTCCAGGCAGGTGGAGGAAAAGGAGAACTGGATCTGCTGGACTGTGTGGATGCCATGGCCTGTCTGCCCCACAAAGGTACAGCTTTGGTGGGCTCTGGCACTCAGGGCAGCCTGGTGCCACCAAGGCATGTGGGAGTGGAACCCATTTGTGTTTCTGGGGTGGCAGGAGGGTCCCACAGCTGGCGTGCATTTGTCTGGGAACGAGGGGCACAAACACCCCACGGTGGCTGGCCCTGAGGCCCTGCACCCTCAGCAGGCCCATCCCAGAAATGGGGATCCCAGAGACCCAAAAGGACCTCGCTGGCCTTTGGGATTGCTGCTGCAGAGACAGAAACCTCAACACCCTGCCGGGCCTTGAGATGAGCCCCTGCTACTGTGGGACTGCTGAGAGGTGGAGAACAGGAGCCAACGAGCACAGCAACACTGCGCCATCAACAGATCTTCGTCTTCATCATCTTCATCGTCGTCATCATCGTCTTCATCATCGTCATCATCATCGTCTTCATCATCTTCATCATCGTCTTCATTATCTTCATCATCATCTTCATCATCTTCATCATCGTCTTCATCGTCATCATCATCTTCATCATCATCTTCATCATCTTCATCATCTTCATCATCACATAAATCTGCTGCAGAGCATCTCAACAAAGGCAAGTGCCTTTTCCCCCCTTAGTTAAAACAAAATAAAACCCTGAACAAGGCACTTGAGGTCAAGTTGAGTTATTCCAGGTCATAGGGGTCGTTTGAGGTCACAATCGGGGTTACTCCAGGTCACAGGGGTCGTTTGAGGTCACAGTTGGGGTTACTCCAGGTCGTAGGGGTCATTTCAGGTCACAGAGGTTACTTGAGGTCGTTTGAAAATTTTTTTGTTTCCCCAGAGGTTACTTTAGGTCATTTCAGACCCTGCTCGGGGTCATTTGAGGTCACAATCGGGGTTACTCCAGGTCGTAGGGGTCATTTCAGGTCACAGGGGTTACTTGAGGTCATATCAAAATTTTTTGGTTTCTCCAGGGGTTACTTTAGGTCATTTCAGACCCTGCTCGGGGTCATTTGAGGTCACAATCGGGGTTACTCCAGGTCATAGGGGTCGTTTGAGGTCACAATTGAGGTTACTCCAGGTCGTAGGGGTCGTTTGAGGTCACGATCGAGGTTACTCCAGGTCGTAGGGGTCATTTCAGGTCACAGGGGTTACTTGAGGTCGTTTGAGAATTTTTTGGTTTCTCCAGGGGTTACTTTAGGTCATTTCAGACCCTGCTCGGGGTCATTTGAGGTCACAGTCGGGGTTACTCCAGGTCATAGGGGTCGTTTGAGGTCACGATCGAGGTTATTCCAGGTCGTAGGGGTTACTTTAGGTCACAGGGGTTACTTGAGGTCATTTGAGTATTTTGACATTTATTCTCTAATTTAGTTTATTCCCTTGTCCATCTGTCCCTGAGTTGGTTTGGGATTCCTCGGCAGGCAGCTCAGTGCACAGAGACTCTGCCTGTGGTGTGCAGAACAGCCAGCAGGACAGCAGGACACAGCCCGGACAGCAGGACAGCAGTGGCCATGCCACGCTGGGCTCAGGGGCTCCAGAGCCCGCGGGGTTGGGATTTCCCAGCTGGGATGAAGGATGAGGGCTGCACCCTCCCGGGGCCTCAGCCAGGGGAGAGGAGGAGCCGGGAATTCGGGACGAAAGGAGGCGGCGCCCTCCCAAACCGAGAGAGAGAGAGGGAAAACCCCGCGGGCCGTGCCCGGGGGCACTCTGCCTTTATTCAAACAAAGCCGCAGCACTCCCTGTCCGAACCCAGGACGTTCCTCTCCCTGCCCTGCAGGACTCGACAACTCCTCTGTCTCCCGTTAAAATAAATAAATTTGTAAAAAAAAACACTCTGGTGTTTGTGGGGTTTTCTGACAAGTCCATACATTTATTTCAAACACACAGCTAGACACGTTTGTTTCCAAAGTCACTTTGTCCTGCAATCACCAAAGCATACAAGGACACCAGGACATCACAGCAGAGATTTGCCCATGGTATTTAATCAGTTATCTCCCAGCAGTGCAGGGAGGCTGAAGGCTCTGCAGCACCTGTGAGCACAGAGCACAGGGCAGCTTCCCCCTGCAGGAGAGCAGAGCTGCAGCCCACAGGAACCTGCACGAGGCTTCAGCCAGCACGCACACGGTGACAGCCCCGGGGCAGGCCCTTCCCTGGCAGGGAAAAGCGCAGGGATTATTCCCAGCCTGCTTCCCTCCCGGGGCACACAGGGCTCCTTCCCTCCCAAAAAGCCTCTGCTCTTGTTCCTGGCGTCCTGGAAGGGCCCGTCAGCATCCAGATGAGCTGCAGGAGCCCCCCTGGGCACTCAGGGTCCCTGGACACGGGCTTGGGCTGGATGAAACCCAGCAGGAGCCAGAGATGTTCCAGAGAAGGTGCAGCCCTGGGCACGGGGTGTGGCCCAGCCCCTCCACCAGCCAAACTTCTCCTGTTGCCCTCAGGAAACTCATCCACAGCAGCAGGGCAGCTGCAAAGTCCAGCTGCAGGGTTTTGCTGAAGTCTTACAGCTTCTTTTTCCTGCTCCCAGACTCTGAGCAGTTCCGAGTCAGCTCAGAGCATCTGAACAGGGCAGAGGAAAAACTGTGTCCCTCAGCAGGCACACATGCACCCAGTGAGTGCCAAATCCCTTCATGCCTGCAGACATAAAACATCCACTCATGCTCCAAGGGGGCTTTTCCCCACCAGAATCCACAGTGTGGGAATTCCAGCTCTGCCCAAACTCTGAAATGTTAGTGCCACCCTCTCAGACGTATTCCCGTGAGCCCGAAATGCTCCAGCACGTGCCCAGGAAGTGCCAGGTGTGCCACTCAGCCCAGCCTGGCTCTGCCCTCGGGATCAGGGCTGGCTCCAAGCCCACACACGAGCATGGGGCTGTCTGAGCTCAGGGACTCTGTCTGATCTCCTCTTTGGATCAGCTGGAAAAAGAGAGAAATGGGGAAATATTTAGTCATCAGGTGCTAATGAGAGACATGAAAAGCTCAGGTTTGCTTTGAAATCGATGTCAAATGCTCAAATAAAACAGTTCTATCTTTCTGCTCTTTGAAAATAAAGTTACCAGTGCAGATGGCACGCCCAGTTCCAGTTTGATTCCTAGATGAGCCCACTGATAGTGGAAGTACACAGGATCCTCTAATTAATGTTATAGAAAACTGCACTTAATTACTTCTTAAGCACATTACATCTGCATAAAGTTGCATTACACTGAATACATCATCATTTAAATCCATTACCTACACATAAATATGTATCAGATTTGCATTGCAAATGTCTTCATCCTCTGCTTTGTTAATCACAAATGTCATGTCTAAATTACTCCAAAATGTGCAGTTCTGGCTTACTCACCAAACAGTTCCATATTAAACAAAATATGCGTTATAAGAAAAAAATCGCAATTAAATAGGAGGTGGAGTTCCTCAGGGTGCTGGAAATTATTACCAAAGTCACCAGAACGACTCCACTGAAATCAGCTGTCAGTGACAGCTGCCGTGACAGACTTCATAAGACAACAGAAAAAAAATATGGTTTAGTGCTAGAAAAACCTATTTACGAGTGCTTTCTTCAATCTCCATCTAGAATTAATAAGCGCTGATTTGACTGCTCCAGTGATGAGCCGGAGACATCAAACCAGTTTTGTGGGGCCTGGAAAATTCCCCCTGCAAGATCTGAGCTGGTTGCCTTCCATGCAAATGCTCCTGAGTTAATCCATGCCATGAATTTCTGTGGAGCACGGTGCTGCCTCACCCAGGTTCCTCTGAAGCCCAGTTAATAAAAGGCTTCTTTAATTAAATGCAGCTTTCCATGTTCTCTTTCAAATGGAGCAGTCAAATGAACACACAGAGACACTGCTCTGCTCAGCCCAAACAGCCACTGCAGGCACAGGCACAGCACAGGGCCAGCCTGATCCCTGTGTGTGAAATTGTCCCTTAAGTGCTGCCATCCCTCACTGCTGGGAAAAGAACCAGGAAAACCCCGCTGGGCTGGGCTTCCTTGGGCACTTACCACTGACATGGAGTCTCCGAGGCTTTCAGCTGGGAGTACTGAAATTCCAAACCATGCAAATGCTGTAGGATCCTGCAGGACGGACAGACAGGATCAGGCTGCATTCCCAAGGCAGCCTGGCAAGCTCGGAGCAGCAGGAGCAATGTCAGGGCTTGGCTTTTGGGCGTGCTGGGAGCCGTGGGAGCAGCTCTGTGCTCCGAGGGGCAGGTGGGACTGCCTGTGCCTTCCCTGGTGATTGCACTGGTAATTCCCTGGTGATTGCACTTTGCACGGGCACAGGGCTTCCTGAGCACAGGCTGTGCCAGGCTCTGCCAAGGAGGAGGTGCTGCCTACAGAGCAGCAGGGGTGCTGAGCAGCAGGGAAACCAACACCGGGAAATGGCTAAAAATCTGTTCTGTGAGCCACGTTCCATGCCCTGCAGAGGAGATGAGGAGGATACAGCAGCTCCACAAGCACCAGAAATCCATGGACAGTCCCAGAGGCCTCTGCTGGGGCAGCACAAACATCTCTGTGCCAGGAGTGGAAGCTGGAGGCTTCTCCGTTCACTGAGCCCTGCTGCCAGCTCCAGGCTTCTCCCGGGGCACTCCTTAGGGACAATCCACTCCTGAGGGACATGCCCTGCTCCCTCTGCCCCTCAGGCAGGGCACTGGGCACTGCACAGCAGCTCCTTCCCCCAGCCCAGCACGGGCTGCTCATCTCCCCCGAGAGCCTGCTGACCGCTGCTGTCCTACGCCGTTCCTCATTCCCAAAGAAATGCAGGCTGTGCTCTAACCAGGCACCTGTGTGAGAACAGGTCCTGCCAGGCACCAGAGACAGAGATCCGAGTCACCAGCAAACAGCAAAGCAACAAAATTGCTCCTCCTGGAGGTAAATTAGGAAGTCAATCAGCACACGTCAAGTCGGAAGATCACAGCATGGCCCTGGATCCATGGCAGTGTCCAAAGCCAGGCTGGATGGGGCTTGGAGCTCCCTGGGCTGGTGGAAGGTGTCCCTGGTGTGGCAGGGGCTGGAATGGGATGATCCTCGGGGTCCTGTGCAGCCCAGAGCTCTCGGTGGCCGGGCCAGCGGCTACACGTAGGCATGGACGCCCAGGGCCGGCGCTCCCAGCCGCGCTGCCCGGGCCAGCCGGGGGTGGCCATGCCCGGCAGCCTGGCACCAGCAGTGGCAGTACATGGCTCCCGCGGCCAGCAGCAGGGCACTGCTGGCCCAGCCCACGTAGAGGGCAGCGCCCAGCTCGCGCTTCAGCGGCGCGGGCACCGCGGGGTCGTAGAAGTCGCGGATGACGCTGCCCCCGGTCCAGGACACCGGCAGCAGCACCAGCGTGCCCGTCAGCAGGAAGGCCGCCCCGGCCGCCAGGATGAAGGGGCTGAGGGCCCGGGGCCCCTGCTTGGCCCGCTGGCTGTACTTGACCCCCGCGATGGCCAGCAGGAAGGCCAGCACGGCCAGCGCCGCCGCCAGGCACATGAGGGCCCGCAAGGCCTCCAGCGGCGGCGGCAGCGCCAGCACCGAGTCGTAGAACTTGCACTGCAGCCTGAGGCCCAGCTGGCTGATGCAGTCCATCCACAGCCCCTCCCAGATGGTCTCGAACACCACGATGTTGCCCTCCACGTAGGCAGACACCCTCCACTGGGGCATGGCGGTGGCCGCCAGCGTGCCCACCATGCCCACACCACCCAAGATGAGCCCGGCGATCTGCAGCACGCAGCAAGCCATGCTGCCCCACAGCTGCTGCCCCAAAAAGTCACCTACATGGACTGCCCAAGCCACCTGCTCACACGAGCCATGCACTGCAGGACACGAACACCTTCTCCAGCGGTTTCCCGGCGCAGCAGTTCGGGTTCCTGGGGAGAGGCCGGAGCTCCAACCGGTGGAAATCCATTCCTGGCTGCTCCGAGGCCCGGCTATTTATTTGCTCTGAAATCCCCTTGGCTGCAGCCCGTCAAGCCCGGCAGGTTTGCAGCCAATGGCAGCCTGCAGAGGTGGGGCAGGGCTGACTCCACTGCTCCTCGCAGGGCGGCTGAAGTGCTGCTATAATTAAGCAAGTGGCAGGGATTCAATTAAAGGTGCCTAATTGCAGGGCTGACAATTTCTTAACTGCAAGATTGCAACTCTGTTGAAATCCAGTACAGAAGGCCTGAACTTCCACCTGCAGAAATATCGTTTAAAATGGGTCATTACAGTTGTTCTTACAACAAAAGCTAAACTTGAGGCTTGAGTGGGGCTCATTTCCTGAGTGCTGCAGCCCTGGGAAGACAGCTGATTGTTATTTTCCTTTAGACCAAGCCAACAGGTACTTGGTGTAGCCCTTTAATGTAGATTTCTCGTTTTGATCAGACACAAAAGCCTAATCATGATGTTAGACAGGTACAGGAAAGTCAAGTATTCCAGCCAACATCAAAGCTTCGCTCTCCCAGCTCCAAAATTCACCAGGGCAACCAAGCAAAGAAGTGGCTGAGCCTCACGGCTGCTGCTTTTGCATCCAGGAGCAAAGGCACAGGTAGGGGATAGTCCTCATGGGAACCAGAAGGAAAATGCTGTCACTTTGTGCCACACCAGTGGTCCCAGGGGACACTGGGGGTGTCTGGTGTGCAAGGCACAGATCCAGAGTCCCTCCCACAGAGCTGCAGCCCAGAGCCCTGCAAGCCTGGGCAAACAGCCCTTGCTGTGCCTGGGGCAGCCCAGGAAATGCTGCTGAACCCACTTTGGCTGCTCTCTGCTCCTGCCTGACACAAGGCTGGACAATGACAGCTCACAGCTGCTGGGGAAGTTGATGTGCTGCTGCTTTCTCCAGCTCTTTGAACCTCTTAGAAAACATAAGGTAAAAAATTGGCCCACCAAAGACAATAAAGAGCCCTAGAAGTGCTGTGGAAGAAAGACAAATCCTGGGTTTTTTGCCGGTGTGTTTGGCAATATCAGGCATTGTCTGTGATGGTATTAATTTAATTACAACTCTAGGTGCCTACACAACATCATCAAAGCCAAAGCTAAAGCCATGAAAAGGAAACTGTCCACCCAAACCACCCACAGCCCGGTTACTTCTTGGAAGGAAGGAAGTGCCAGATAATGCAAATTATTCATTATAATGTTACATTTCCGTGTGGAAAATGCTCCCAAGGGATGTGGGCAATTCAGCTTCGAGTCTACAACCAGGAATCTGGTGAGAATAAAAAGTCCTGAGCTGAGGTGTGAAACACAGAGAGAAATCCACCACCAGGTTTGTACTTACAGGGAGAGGAGCTTCACATCACTCTGGCACAGGCAGAAGAGAAGGAGCCTGTGATGCAGGAATCTGAGGCACTTTGCTCCCTGCCACAAAGAAGGAGATGAAATCAGAAATCAGAGGTGGGTCTGAGGGAAGCTCCCTTCCCTGGCAGGACACTGCTCCCTTACAGGAACATTCCTTATTTTAACTCCAGAACCAGAAATCAATTTATGATGGAAGATCTCTCTTAAACCCAGCATTTAAATGTCATTTTTTTAAACAGGAAAACCCTTTGTGCAACGTTTTCAGGCAGGCAGCTCCTGAAGGTGAGCACAGACCATGCCTAACGCCCTGCATCCATTCTCCTGGCTGCTTTATCCATCAGGGTGCTGGAAATAATCCTGCCTTGGATGCTCTGGGAGGGGCAGCAGCTGAGGCCATGCAGAAAATCACCAGGGCAAGGCTGCAGAGAGGATGAAAACTCTGAGAGAAATAGGATTAAAACGCAGCAATACGCCCAGGGAGTGCCCCATGGCTGGGTGGGGTTCCTTTCAGCAGGAATTAGAGCCTTTGGAGGGTGAGACCCATCAGCAGGAGAGGGGGACACCCAGGGGACACTGCTGTGGGTCCAGGGGACACTGCTGTGGGTCCAGGGAACACCCAGGGGACACTGCTGCAGGATGGTTCCTTCTGTTGGAACCCGAGGGGAAGGAGGCAGCAGAGGGAAAGCTCCAAATGGAATCTAAAGGCAAATTTCAGGAGCTGAAAAGGGCTTTAAAGCTTTCCAAATGTACAGGAGACAGGCTGGGATAAAACCTCAAAGCACTGTGAGTGCCTGGGACCTGGTAAAGCTCCTGGCCCTCCCCCAAATGCCAGCGAGGCCCTGCCTTTGCTCACCTGAGGAAAAGCCATTTTTTGCAGGTGAATCCTGTGTGGGGCAGCCTGGAGGGGCTCCCACAGCCCTGTGCCCCCCGAGAACTGCAGCTCTCACAAGGAGAAGGAGGAATGTCTAATAACTATTTATCCCAGAGATGTGCTGGGGGTTTGGGGGCTGGAAGTGAGGGAAGGGGAAGGAAAGAAGATGGAAAACAGCCTGCTGAGTGCAGCCTGACTTAAAACCAAGGGTTTTTTCCTCAGGAAAGCTGGTGCTGTTGTGTTGGAGAGGAGCAGGGCTCACACTGCAGGCAGAGGATTGAAGGATCATGAGGATGAGAGGAGCTGCATCTCTGCACAAGGCCATTGCAGTGAGGGGAGAGAGCCTGCAGCAGCCAGGGAGAGCAGCTCCTCTGCTCCTGGTCATGTTATTCTTCATTAATTACACTGGACACCTGAGGGATGCACACGTGGATGAGGCTTAACAATTGCCCAGGAAGTAAATGGGAAGCAAATTAAAATTCAGCATGGATGCAGCAAAAAATAAGCTCAGGTTTTGTTTGGTGTCAAAAGCTGATAAAATCTGCTCCATTTGGACCTTATTAAAGTGGGAAGGAACAGAGACGTGGAGGGCTGGCAGGGAGGAACAGGGATGAAAAGTGAGGCAGAACCCACAAACAACAAAAGGCAGTACTGGGGGAGAACTGTCACGTTCCTATTGCCAGACACTGATTTCTGCTGCTCTTGGAGGCAGGGATTTCCCTGGGGATCACCCTCCTCCCCTCAGGGATCCAACAGCAAAGGAGGAAGGGCAGCAAGGAAATCCCCTTTAGACCCCCCCCTTTGGGGTGTGCAGGGAATCCCACCCGCCCTGGGAAGGGCTCTCCTGGCTCTGGGAACCATTTACCTGGGCTGGGACCACCTGGGGGAGCGTGCTCCGAGTGCTCTGCAGTGGGGAGGCTCCCCTGGGATGCTCTGGGCAGCTTTCCCTTGGAATTCTCTGTGCAGCTTCCCTTGGAATTCTCTGGGCAGCTTCCCTGGAATTCTCTGTGTGGGTTTGGGGCAGCAAGCCTGAAAAGGGAGAGGAGAAGCAGCCAAAAACAAGCTGAGGGATAAATGAGCTTGGGGCTGAATGTAAGGAGGGTGACAGGGAGGGAAGGACTGCAGGGAAAGGGAAGGACCCGGGCAGGGGAGGCTCCACAAGCCAGGGGTGACCAGGGAAGGTTTCTGGGAAGGGAACCAGGGAGCAGCCTCAGCTGATTGAGCTCCAGCTTGCTGGAACCCTTCCCAATGGGGTGGACTTCTCAGGGCACTGCAGGACAGCCAGCTCGGGAGGTTTTGTGGCAGGAGCAGCCCTCAGGAACAGTTGTGGTGTATTTACCCACCCATGATGGGGATGTTCCAGAGCTCCAGAATGGAACTGGGACTTTTGGAAGGTTTGGGAGCTTCACCCACCCGAGCCAAAGCAGCATCCCTCTCCTCTGGCCTGCAGGGTCCCCAGGTCACCTGGAAGGGCTCCACTTCCACGGGGTGCCCAGAGTGCAGGGCAGAGCCCCTTGGATCAGCCCTGGAAGCCACACTGCTCACTCCCCACATCATTCCTCTTGTCCCTAAGCAGGAAAAAAGGGTTTGACATCACAAACTTCCAATGAAACACTTAAAAGAGCCAGTCAAGCTCCAGAACAGGAGTGCTGTGCTCCATCAGACACCACAAATTGGATTATGCTCCCAGCTCAGTCAGAGGCAAAATCCCATTGATTTCTGCGGGGCTGGAGTTGCACTTTATTAATTGGCTGCAAAGTTCTATTAAAATATTGCTGCTATTGATTGGTTTGGGTCATTCATTAAATCAATTTGTCTGCAATTACTCATTTTTTACTAAGCTTTGTTTTTTTTACATCATTGCTTATCATGGCCACACGATCTTAATGGGAATAATATAATTTAGCCTGCTTTAATGGGAAATGTGAGCAAATAATATAATTCAGCCTGTTTTAATGGGAACTGTGGGCAAATACTGTGGTTGCTGATATTCCTTATGCCTATAAACTGTGCTGGTGTGAATGAGCCTCAGCAAAAACCTTGGCCTGATTGTACAGAAGATCCCTGTATTAAAAAACAAACAAACAAACAAAAAAGTGAAAATAATAATAAATAAAATTTATATATACACCACAAGAGTCCTGTGGCAAGCAAGCAGTGTTTGTGGTGTGTGCAATGCTGGAAAAGAAATGCTGTAAGGCACAAGTGAGCTGCCTCTGGAAAAAGGTTGTGAATGAGTTTGACCTAAATGGGCTACAAAGGAAATATTAACTTTCCCTGAAAGGAGGGTAATTAGGGTGTACATAGAGAGCTGTGTTTATTCTCTGAAATAAGGGATATTTTTTCATGTGTTTCAGCTTACCTTCCTCTGCTGGATAAACTCTCCAGGCAACCCTCCATTAAGCCTACAGTAAATCAATCCCTCAGTGAATGCTTTTCTTTTAAACCATTATTATCTTGTCTTTATTCACTGTTATCCCTTCTTTCCCAGGCAGAAAAAAAAACCCCTCAGCTGCTTAACTCAGCTCTTCACTGCAACAGGCCAGAATTTCGTACCATGGTGTAATCCCAGGCCTTTTATTAGTGTTTGGCACACAAAATGCAGCCCAAAGCAAGAGCAGAGCCTCACCATCCAAAAGCTGTTCCAAAGGACTACCAAAATAACCCAAAGTGCTGCCAAAATAACACAAAACATTACCAAAATAACCCAAACTACTATCAAAATAACCCAAAGTGCTACCAAAATAATCAAAGTTACTATCAAAATAATCA